CGATGTACCTAAAAAAAAATATATGGGGAAATTAGTGGGTACCCATCCCCGGTTGAGATTTAAAGAATATCATTTACCCTACTCGACGGACAAGAAAAAAGGGGAAACCCAAGTATTTGAGTTAGATCTCCATGGATACCCACATGGTAGGTTATCCATTGCCATCCCTACTCTGTTGACAATTAGAGTATTAATTCTCACTCTCTCTTATTCTCTCGCTACAACAACGACGATTTGCGATGATGACAATCTAGCGATGACAAGATTGTGACTATCGATAAAAAACGCGCAATTAATCATAACCAAAACATGAAAATTGAAGACAAAAATGTACAAAATTTCAATTAAGGTGATCACTAGTTAAGATGAAAATTGAAAAATTCAATCTAAGGTTACCATCAAATCAGAAAGAAATCCAATAAAACAATTGCAGGAGATATTAAAATAAGAAAATTCATTCTATAAATGCAAATAAAAATTTTTGAAAAAGAAAAGAAAAAGAAGAAAATGGAAACGAGAGCAATAACTCACCTTCAAATTATCGAAGATCAATTAATAGAGAGGAGAAGGAGATATATAAAACTAAAAAAGAAGATGGAATTTTTTTTGTAGGAATAGAATTTTTCTAAATAAATTTAAAAAATTATAGATATACATAAAATTTGACAAGAATAATGTGATAATGTTATTAATGTGTATTTGATTTTGTTGTTGAGCCAAATAAAATAAAATAAAATAAGAATGAATGTATATTTAGCTTTGGTTGTGAATCTTAAAAAAAAAAAAAAATTGAATGTGTATTTAGCTTTGGTTAAGATTGAATTTTTCGAAATAAATTTAAAAAATTCTAGATATACAGAAAATTTAACAAGAATAATGTGATAATGTTAATTAATGTGTATTTGATTTTGTTGTTGAGCCAAATAAAATAAAATAAGATTGAATGTATATTTAGTTTTACTTGTGAATCTTAAAAATAAAAATAAAAATAAAAATAAAAAAATGGTTGTGAACCTTAAAAAAAATAAAAATAAAAATAAAAATAAAAAGAGATTGAATGTATATTTAGCTTTGGTTGTGAATCTTAAAAAAAAAAAAAAGTTGTGAACCTTAAAAAAAAAAATTAAAAAAAAAGTAGATTGAATGTATATTTAACTTTGGTTGTGAATCCTTTAAAAAAAAAAAAGGGTCACGTTGGGTTGGGGAATATCCAAACCCATTAGGAGATGGGGAGGGTAGTACTCATGGGAAATGGGGAATGGGAAAAAATAATTATAGGAGAATGGGGATGGAGAATTAATATCCACCCCATTAACCCCCATTGCCGTTCCTAATGATTAGGGTAGTTTGTAATTGAAAAATACATAAATTAAGAATTATACTTTAATATTTATGCGAATACTTATATCATCTTTGATGGATTGTTTCAAAAAATTCTTTCAATTATTATTCTTATTCATTATTTGATTTTCTTCAAATTTTCTTCTATTTACAAGTAATAACACAATAGAAAACAATTTAGTGTGTTTGGTTTTAGTTTTTTGAATTTCATTTTCTGGAAATTGAGTTTTTTTATTTTTCGTGTGTTTTTTTGCTTTTAGTGAATATTTTAAAAAATTTAAGTAATTTTTTTACTTTTTAAAATGCACCTTACTTAGATGTATCTAAATAATAAAATATTTGTGAAAAAAATATTTTTAAAAATTAATAAATATGCAAAAATACAAAAAATGTATTGAATTTATATATATATACTTTATATTTTTGTTATTTAATGAATTTTTTAAAGATATTTTTCTTAAATATTATACTTTTTAAGTGTATTTATGTTAGGTGTGTTTAAAAATTAAAAAAAATTGTTGAAAATATTAAAAAAAATTCATTGAAAAAAAAAATACGAAAAATAAAAGAGTAAATTTTTTTGAAAAGTATGTTTTGAAAACTAAAACCAAATAAACTGATTAATATTGATATTGAAAACTAAACCAAATAAACTGATTGATATTGATGATAATGGTGAGTGGCCAATTTAGTGAAGCAGAGAAAATTGAAACCCAAACCCAAATTAGTTGCATAGTAACGATAGCATGAGTGGACAATTTGCTATTTTAGGATTATTTTAAAAAGTTAGTTAAAAGTTAATATTTTAATTTTTTTTAAATATAAAAAAAATAGAGAGGTAATATAAATCAAAATTGATTAAAAATCAAAAAGTAACTTTTTATTATCTTCTCAAAAGAGGCCTTAATAACATAATATTATGCTATACTTTGGCATGGTGAATTTTTAGATAAGAAGTACAAAAAAAAAAAAATTATTATAAGTTATCATATTATTTTTGTAAAAAATAAAAAGATCAATTAAAATAGTCAACTCTCAAATAAAATTTTCAAGCTGCCCACTCATAGTACGGGGATGTCTGGTATATGCTATTTTAGTTAAATTTTTATAAAAAAAATAAAAATAAATAAAGTATCAAAAAAGAAATAAAGTGAATAATGTAATTGAATGTCTTGACTCATTGAATATTTTAGTCCCAACCTAACTTGCCAAACGGGGCCATATTCTCTTTTCTGATACATTGCATATCTTCTAATTCTTCATTGTCTTCTGAATAACCTGCTGTTGTAGTTATTCTTGCTAATTCGTAACTTGTTTGTGAAAATACTAAACAGAAATTGGTAGAAGCCTTTAGGCGCCTATGTGTTTTCAAGCGATTGCTTTGCTGATATATTGATTAGGAACCCTCCTTTTTGTTCATCTTTGAGGTTTGTTTGCTATAGGGTTTTGTTTATAATTAGAGATCAGACACAACTTGGCATGTGAACCCTAAATAGAAGTTAACCCATCAGGATTCATGCATTACGTTAACTACCCGACTGAGAGGCCTAAATTTGAAGTTGTATGATAGATTTTGTGTGTGTGTCACCTGTTTGGTGAAATTCCACATTGAAGGGCCTTGATTTTTTGCTTTGTTGTGTGAGTTGTCTGCTGATATTTTTGGAGCTTTAAGGGACTAATTTGAGAACTTTTGGATACAATTTTTGGAGCTTTTATGGGACTTGAATTTTCTTTTTGTTTCTTTGTCTAATTTAGTGTTCTAGTGTAATAGTTAAAAGTTGAAGGAATTCATTGTTTGTCTTTATTAAAGTACATTCTGATGTTGATATATATATGATGGAACAAGTACTAATACAATCCTCCGCTGATGCTTTGTATCTATCTCAATATTGACTGGAAATTTTATTTGCAGATTTAATCACATTTTTCAATTTTTACACTTATAAAAGTCAATATTTCAAGTATAAGTTATGTATGATATCTTCGTTAAGAATGAAATAAGAGTAATACTATACAAACAAACAAATGTTACAAAATTTTCATACTCATTGATGTGGCACTTATCACATTATTGAAGTGTGTCTTGTATCAGATTCTAAAATTTCTTTATTAGATGACACATCAGTTTGTAAGAAAAATTTATAAAATTTGTTAGTTTGTATAGTATTTTTCATGAAATAACCAAAACTTTGTTGACTGAAACCATTTAATTTGCCCCCCTAACCAGCCACCGGCAGCAATAACATCTCATTTGCCAAGGACGTTGCCAACTTTGTGGGTATGAGCCCCCATGAGGTTAGCTGTAACTGCAAATAAACATAAGGTTGAAAGGGGTTTATGCCATTGTTAAGGTGGGATATCAGTTAAAGAAGAGGGATATGCTGATCAATGCACAATTTTATTTTTCTCTGGACCAGTTGGTTTACTACATATTTGCAATGCCATGGTTATCTATGTTTTAGGTATGAATGAATGCTCCAATCAACGGCAGACACAGCAGGCAGACGGAACCCATGGCCACCAAAGATCCAAAATATCATGTAAATATATGTTTATATTCTCTTTTCTGATACATTGCATATCTTCTAAGTCATTTTCTTCTGAATATACTACATTTCTTATGAAAATTCCACCATTGTTATTCTTGTTGATTCTTGTTGCACACAATTTGGTATGTGAAGCCTTAATAGAAGCTAACATATTAGGCTATATGTATTGTGTTAACCACCTGACTGAGAGGCCTAGATTAGAAGTTGTGTATGATAGTTTTTTTTTTTGGGTGTGTGCGTGTGTGCGCGCTTGCGCGTGTGTGCATTCACCTGTTTGATAAAATGCCCCATTGAAAGGCCTTGATTTTTTGCTTTGTTGTGTGAGCTATCTGCTGATATCTTTTGAGCTTTTAGCAGACTAATTTGAGAACTTTTGGATACAATTTTTGGAGATTTTATGGGATTCAATGTTCTTTTTGTTTCCTTGTCTAATTTTTAAATTCTAGACTGATTAAAAGTAGAAGGAAATTATTTTTATTCTTTAAAGATAACGTTATACAAATAGAATGTATATACAAAGTACTTGTACAAAACGACGTGATCTATTCAAAATCATTCATTTGAAATAAAAAGGCCTTTACTTTAGTTCATAATTGCAAAATAGACATTGTCACATCATTTCTATGGATTTTCCATATATAAATTTTATATGATTATGCGTTTCCTTCAGGTTGATAATTGTTTTACATACATTTGAGTCTTTATGCTGACTTTATGAATTCTCAAGTAATCAGTGGTACTCTTACAATTGCAATTTGTCCTTTTTAACTTATACCACAAAACGAACGCCTAAAATTAGGGGAAACTGAGGACAATGGTGAATCTTTGCAAAACATAAACTTAGCCCGACTGCATATGCTCTTGGTCTGAACTGGGGGAATAATGGACACCACAATTAGTAAAATATGAGGTGGCAACGACCATATATATGTGAGACTGTAAAAGAACCAGACACTACTCATACGGGTTAATTTAATATAAATTTTTAAAAGAATACGGTGATAAATTTGGCCCAAAAATACAACCTGAAAGGTACAAAATTATGTAATGGTATATTATGAATATTAGTGAAAATGTTGGGAAAAAAAAAATACAACAAAAATCAAATAATTAGATACAACTACATCAAATCTCTATTCAGAAGCTTTTATTAATATATTTTACAAATGGTGCTGCTAATTTGACATGGAAATGGAGAACCCGTGGGGTTTCCCGAACTAGTGCCTGCACTTTTGTTTTGCCTTTTCTCTATCTTCCATGTTTCTTAGCTAGACTATAGAAATGTATATATTTACTATATATATGGAGAAAAATTAAAAGAAAGACACACTCCGAGGCTACTGAATATTTACTCTGTTGTTTACTTGGTGAATTTGACATCTGGATTTCTCATTGGCTTGAGCCACATGTCAGCCATTACCCGCGAGGAAATGCTCCACAGTAAATCTGGGCCCTTCGACAATACATGCTTTGCCTTTTTTCCTGTTGCTGCTGCTGCCTTTCCCAGTCCATAAGCCACCAGCCATTGCATCGCAGTCAGTCTTTGCTTCTCAGTATCCCACTCATTCCTCTTCCCTCTACTCCTAACTTTCAAACCTCCCAAATGCAAATTTGCCACTTTGAACATCTTTTCCTCATCATCCTTCCCAAAATCGCTCCCTATTCCATTTATCAGTGCTATCACAGGCCCACCAACTGCTTCATATCTCCTTAGAGGATCTCTCAACTGAACAACCACTGATATTGTGATTACCGTTTCTGAATCCCCAGCTTCATCACCAGAATTTGTGTTGCTGCTATTTTTAATCCAATCCTCAACTGGAATTGCAGATTCCAGTGGGTGTTTACTATCTTTCCCACTATAGACTGGAGAAACTTCAAATGGTGCATCTTCTTCTGCCATTTCGGCCTGGAGTTTTAGAGCTTCGATTGCCATGGCCTCTATTTTCTGCATTGAGAATGCAAGAACCTCTTCAGCTGTCAATGGGTCTTCACTCACATTCCAAATTCCTGTCGAAATTCTCTCTTTTCTTCCGGTACTCATTGCAGTTGACATGGTTTTAACTGCAGCAATAGTACGGGCAGCACTCGAACTTGCACCTTCTTTGTTCCTCCCTTGGATAATTGCCGAAGCAATGCCTTCGAAAGCTATTTGTTCAGCGGTTTTACCCAAGAGTTCATCCATAGGCATCAGAGATAAAATTTCAGAGCTAAGAGCTTCCACCCCAATAGCTGCCATTCTCTGAAACAACTCAACTCCAGTTGTGGATTTGTTTGATGGAAGAACCAATGGTTTTGATATCTGCATTGCAAGTTTAGGAGTATCTTTTCTCGCCACCGCGGTATCTAGAGGATTCAGAGCAGCTAAGTAGCCTCCGTTTCTAGTTTGAACCACACACCCCAAGCCCTTTCCAAGATCAGGGATAAAAACCTTGGATTCAGCCTCTGTAGGATCTTCAGCTCCTTCGGACTTCGCAGGAGGGATATCAATCTGATCAAGTTTAAATTCGTCAGCCTCTTCGTCTTCAAGCAATTGAAGAAATTCCCTTGTCACCGTTTCTTCGTCTGCGTCCAGTCTTTGCGACACGGCTTCTTCCTCTGTTTTGACAAGTTTTTCCTCACCCATCATAGATTCAAGAGCTTTTATCTGCTGAGCAATTGAATCGAGCTCTGTCAATCTTGTCAGATGGACTTGATCGTGCACAATTTCCTTGACAACCTCACTCGAGACTGACCTTCTGTCAGAATTTTCCTCAGATTGTGCTTCATCTGTCTCGGCTTTGTCTTGAATCTCAACTCCTTTGTCAACAATGTCGAATTCAGGGAGGTCTAGATCTTCTATCTTCGATTCTGGTTCTTCGGATTTCTGAACAGGAGGAGAAGTTGAAGGCACTGGAGCCGGTTCATCGAGATTCAAGTCATCAATACCATGAAAGTCTCCTGTTGCTCCTGACTGCGAAGGCGTCCATGCTTCAGCTCGGCTAGAGATCCTCGGACTAGGGATGCTAAACGATGATTTCGACTGCTTGCGAGCAATCGAAGATGCGAAATTTCTTGCTTTACTCGACTTCTGTCCTTCGGCCTGGCTGTAAATTCCAATCCCCCCATCTTTCTCCATTAGCTGAAATCCTAATTTCAGCACAAGTTCTCCTCCCTTTGCTTTTCCTGATAGGTTGAAAGTTGTATCCCACTGCCTAACCCGTGTGCCTTCCGAGTTCTTCTCTATGGATTCCTGAATCAAGAGACTCAAATCCACACAACTTCTTCCGAAGTCAAGTTCTGCAGCATCCACTGCAAACACATAGATCAAAAATGGACGTGGCTCGAACTTGAGCTGCGTTCCACCGCTACTAGGCGTGCAATAAACGTGGCATCTAATAAACATAGTCTCTTCAAAATCAGCAGCTCCCTGAGAAACCCTTGATGGCATAGTGTGAACTGCTCCGTCTTTAGTCTCTTTCTTTCGAACACAAACTGAAAGTCGGAGGCCATTCATGGAAGCCGGAAGGCCTTGGGCAGTTACTACCTCAATGGAGAACAAGCAGCTCAGCTTTTGCATGCCAATGTGCGAGAGAGCTCGAATTGGCTTCCAGTTCCAAAGTCCTTTCTTGCCTGAAGAAGAAGAAATTGTTTTGTCGTCCAACTTCTTCAACTCTCTCTGATTTGGAGCCTTAGCTCGCTGTTCTCTGTCGACGTTTTCATCGTCGAGCTTTGGCCGGGAACGAAATGGCGATAAGGACATGCGCCGCTGTCGGGGTTTCGGGTTGAGTTGCGCCTCTATTTTAGCGGCGGCAACGGGGGGCTCATCGGATGAGATGGGAGGAATTGAAGATCGAGGGAGAGCGAGGGAAGCGTGTCTTCGAGTGGTGGTGGTGTGGGTTTGGTAGAGGGATTGGCTGAGTGCTTCGAGTTCTTGCAAGAGCTGCGTGTTGGGATTTCTATTGCCCGAGTATTCTGCTGCCATAATTGGAGAGAGAGAGAGTGTTGAAGTGGTTAGTAATGGTTATGGTGAAGAGAGGTAGAGAGATGGGAATGAAAGAGAAGATAAAGAGTAGTAATGTATGGTGATGAAACTGCCATGAATGATGGATGGGAGAGGCACTGGCTGGGGCTTCCTGGACCAAGAAATTTGTATGAGTAATGTGTGAAGGATAAGATGATAACGTTTCTCTCTCTCTCTCTCTCTCTGTCTCTCTCTCTCTTGTAGAAAAAGACAGGGTTGGAAAGAGGAAGGAAGATTGGTAATCTGCCCCCCAGAGAAGTAAGGGTATGTTTGGTTTGGATTTGTAGAATAATTTTGGAATTTTTTTTAAAAAAAAATTTGTTTGATTTGTAAATTTTTCAAAATAATTTTTAAAATCACTTTCTCTCTCTTATTTGTCAATCAATCACTTTTTTTCTTTCTTCTCTCATTCTCAATCACTTTTTCTCTTACACGCATCTACTCAATTATAACAAAATATCAAATCATTCTAAACTCACAAACTCTAAAACTACTTTCAAAATACACAATTAAATAAACCAAAAAAATTTCTAAACTCTCTCCCTAAAATAATTTTTAAAAACTATTCTTCCAAAACCAAATCAAACATAAATGTTTGTATTGTTATATAGTGTAGAAATTATTCTAGTGTGGATCATTTTCCCACCAAAATGTGGTTTTTGTAGTCACTAGCTACCACGCCAACAAATATTGTGCAACACAATTTTATAAGGTACTGTCAGTCAATAAGTGAATAATTTTTTGTCTTCTATATAATTTTTACTATGATATAAGCTGTTTATGGTAAGACAAACTCAAATACATTTTAAAAATTTGACTCGTGTTTAATTTTTTCTATATATATTTTTAAATTAATTTATTATATCAATAAGTTAATTTTAAACGTACTTTGAAACTTTTAAATTTAAATAATTTATTACTAAACTTCACTTAGCTCGTTTGTAGACTACCACTGATTGTAGTTTATTTTGTTGGACTCGCAATTGGCAACCAATGATATTCCAGTTCTGCCCTTGAACTGGGTTTAATTTAAAAGGGTTGGAATAATGGACTGTTCACACAGCCTAATATAGAATAAAGCTTCGGACCCCCATTTTTTTTTTTTCAGCCAACCTCAGGCCGACACGTGACACTGGGGGTCACCCCCACTGGGAGTCTGTAGCATTGTTGCCTAATATATTACATTCACATATAGAGTTCTAGTGCGTTTCAGGTTCTAAAACAAATCAAACTGTCAATTTTTTATTTTTTATTTTGGGAAACTTGGGTTGGGTTCTCCTGTGTCCAACCACCACTTCAACAATTTTTAGTAAGAAGTCTCAATTTTTTGGTTTAGGAAGTGTATGTATATTGCAAGATAGAGGGGGAGAGTGTTTGGAAAGTTTTTGTCTTTTGGCAAAATTTTCTAACCTAAAACCATGAGGGATGATCATCTATTCATAGAAAAACAGGTTCCTCTGTCGAAAATATCTGTATTAAGCTAGTTGGTGTAAAACATGCATATGGAGGGACATCTGGCAACAAATTATCTACTGGCTGCTGGACATGGTCGGCTGGCCATGAAGAAGGACGGTCGGCCAATAAAAATTGACCTGCCGGCCACTTTTTAGCCAGTAGGCCTTTGAGTGGTTAGGCTAAAAAAAAATAGGTTTTGGTTCAAAGAGGGTGCAAGGTTTGGGTTCTGAAGTTTGAAAACCGAAGTCTTTTACTGAAGAAATTGAACGATTGTACAGTATAACAATTCATCATTGAGTGTTCAACATGAAGCACCCACGTCTTAAGGACAGTTAAAAATAGAATGTCTCCAGTACATTGCACGTATTAACGACTAGTTTTCTATATAACAAACAAGTCACAGGTACACTCATTCATAGTCAAAACAAACATGAGATTGGCAAAAATCATTTTGCAATCCTTCCAAACACACAATTCATATAATATAAATTACACATTAAAATAAATGATGTTTATGAAGTTATTTCATCTTTGTAGGTACGCGAACCACAGTTCACCTCATATGCTACGAACTTGCTATTCCCATATTAGCCGTAGCAGCTTCCTTGGAAAACATAGCAAAAATAAAAATAAAACAATGAATCATTCAGTATCACTGCATAAAGATGGCACCTTTAAGATAATTCTGGTTTTTGCTATATAGCCTTGTAGTTCTGTTGTTGTTGGAAATCGCCCGTTATACTGTTCCCTACAGAGCTTCGTCAATGGAACCAACCCAGCAGGGGCTTCTCGCTGTTAATGGAAATCAAGGGTTACACTGACTCAACCTTACACAGAGAGGAGAACAGAGAGAGATAGAGATGAAATACAGAGAGTGAGTGGGATGCAATTATGCAAATACAAGCATTAACCGGTTTTTCCGGTTTCAACTTTTTCACGATTAAACAATTCAATGGTCTTGATCAATTATTGTAATCTAACGGCTAACAATTGGGTTGCATATGGTGTGCAACCTTAAGGGGGTTGCACACTTAAACAGCACCCTAGTTTAAAATGGTCAAATTTGAAGGCTTTCTTTTTTTAAACCTAGGTACCAATTTTAGATTTATGACTTTTATTACAAAAAAAAAAAAAAAACTAATTTACCCTTTAATTTTTATGATTTCTATATTTCCATTATAAATATGAATGGAATTTTGGCATACGAGGAGCGCATAATAGTAATATAAAATTATCTATCACATCACCTTATTTTAGCATTAGTGGTGATGCTAATTATAATTCGATTTATGGAGTCTGCTCAAACTCGTCTAAATGAGAAGAATTTTATCCGATCCGACACTTATATGGGGTAGGAGTAGATTATATTTTGATCATCCACAATGAGGTTGGGACGGGGGCAAGTATCACCTCTTCCAGTTCCGATTTTTTATAAATTCAAACCCAACCCGATATATATATATATATATATATATATATATAAAATATAATTAGATAGAAGAAAGGAATACTAAAAGTCTGTTGTTTTGTTTAAATATAAATAAATAATCATTCCAAAAGTCTCACTGTTTATATATATGAAAACAAGAGAAATTATTTAGTGTGTTAAGAATTTAAATGATTTTCAATTTTTTGGTTATTTGAAATGTGGAGAGGTATTTGCAGGGACGGAGATGAAGTTGAAAAATTCCACCCGTAGTGGGGATGATGTGAGAGCAGAAGCGGACGCAGGGGTAGAGTTTAAAAGTGGGAGTTGATGGTCAATCTTCACTGTATTCAAAGAATGGATTAAAGAAATGAGAGAGACTGTTTGATTACAAAAATCAAAATAGTGTATAAAAATAAATAAATAAAAACAGATTTTTATTTTGTTACAAAAATAAAATCAAAATCTGGAACAGGAAAAAAAAATTAAATAGAAAAGTAATCAAGGCACTTACCTTACTATTTTCTCGAACAAATTTTTGATTAAGTCCAGTGTTTAACACTGTGTTTTTAATACAGATTCGTCCTCTCCACGGTGCTTTTAAATTGTGGACGTCTATCTCCCAGGATAAAATGATCAACAGTGAATATTAGCAGCACTATAAACTATTTACACAACGAACACACTTTGTATTTACACTATTTTTCACAGGAAAATAATGCAGCAAAATGCAGAGAAAGCAATGGCAGAATTCAGGACGAAAATTCAAGTGAAAATCCAAATGAGGGATTGCCTATTTATAGATGAAATAGTGGTTGTTCGGTTTGAATCTTACAGGTACCAGACCTGTTTGGTTTTGAATGAACGGATACAGGTTTGAATTTTGAATAGATAAAGAACTATTTGGGAATGAATTTGAACAAATTCGGATCTGTTTGGATGGATATAGAACCTGTACTGAAATTCTGAAAAGATGCAAACAAATTTGAATTTTTCCAACCAAAATTTGAAATTAAAACTGGACAGATTTTATTTTACAAAAAAATAAAATTAAATTCAAATATTTTTGGCCCAAACAGATAAGTATTGGGCCGGACAAGCCCAACCCAACCTCACACCGCGCACCCGCGCCCAAGCCAGCCCGACCAATCGGACGGACGAACGGTGGGGCGCACGTGTGTATTTGTTTTGGCTCCAATAGGTCTAACCTACTTTGCCCATAACATCACTCTCTACAAAACTTGAGTGTCCCTTGGGGCCTACCCCAAGTTCTAAACCCAAGCCTTATAAACCTACTCAAAGTTTGCCTACCAAACCAATGTGGGACAAGCTTTAACTCAAACCTTTATGGAAATTCCACCAAAACACCATTTTCATGGAACTCACTTTGGCTTCAATTTCGCATTCACCCGATAATGGTTTTGAGCAACCAAATATACTACATAAATCACAACGCAGCATAGAACATGTTACAACTTAGACCCGCCAACTTTGGCGCTTGGGTCCCAACTAAAAATTAGACCAAAGTTCAGGAAAAATTTGATTTTTCCAAAACCATTTCTAACAATCCCCCACATGAATGGAATTTGATGACAACGGAAATGCAACAATATGCAAAAATTGGTCGAAAGAGTATAAGTCGAAAATATCTTGCATCAGGATAGATAGCTTTCAGCTTTGAACTTTCCCTAGTGATAACGTATCGGATTTACTAGCTAACCAATGGACGCGATAGCTTGAATTGTTTAGCCGGTTGTGTAAGTCAAGACAATAGATTTCACACAAAATATCTTCTGACATAGCATGGTTCTCATGGTTGTGTTCATTTTGGCCTTGAACACTCTTGGTTATTCATGAGTGCTTCTAGAGAATTTAGCCTCTTCATTCTCATAGAACCGGCCCCGGTTTGACACCCATATAGATGATTCTTATTGTGAGTATCTCTTATACTCGTCTTGATTTTTATGCCTAAATCAAGATATAAATAATCATTAAAAACAAAGCTTATTCTTAAACCCCTACATACAACATATGTTGCAAATATTACTCTCACCATAGGAATGGGTAGGGAATTTTAATCCCTTGGTGATTTCTGCTGAGCCACACGTAACTTAGTTGTCCCTTGAACTTAGTTCTTGGGATCTCTAATCATTTAAGTAGGGTTACCATTATGATGACTCTTATGTAATAGGCTTTAATCCCATCCTCTGCAATGAACTATACACTTGCTCTTTTGTCAAACCTTTTG